CAATGGTAATGTTTATTGCCTCCACCACTTAACATGACGTAAATTTTTATGCTACCTCCTCAAATATAACTCATTTTTAAAATTTGATTTTTTTGTGTGTATATCACACAGAACATCCTAAACAATCTTATTCATCTATATACCACTTCCCAGATGGCACCCTCCCATAGCCCTCCCCCACCAGAGCCCTTTACTCCGTCTTCCCTGCTACTGTCTGCTGTGTTGTTGGCACCCCAGCCGTTCTCCAGTACTTGTCCATCCAGTGAATCTAGTCAGCCTATCTGACTAGATAGGAAAGTCAGCTGTTCCTCATCTAGCAGCAATAAGTTGTCATTGTTCCTTTAGATAAGATTAGGGTCTGCTGTTTATTTTCCCAGTTCTATGCTGGGTTACTATCTGTGAGTCTCTTGGGCCACCCTGACCAACAACTCAAAAGAAAGTATCTCCTATCTGGCATTGTTCCTTGTTATGTAGCCTTTAGCTAAACTTATGGACTCTTAAAAAATTATACTGGACTCTTTAATCTTTGGTTATACTTTCCTTTTTGGGTGTTTAAGGCCATACAGTTGGGTCAGATAAACCAATTTCAGTGTCTAGTCTACAAAGAGGAGGGTCAACACAGAGGAAACATTTCCTCCATGCTTCCAAGTGAAGCCAGCCATGGTTGAGCAGGACCTTTGACTTATCTTCACATAGGTGGAACTGGTAAAAGAAAGGAGCCAGGGGCTCCTCCCAAGCCCATGTGACCCCTGAGGAACAGAGCCTCAAACGGCCTTAAGAGTAAAAACCCCTCCTTTTTAAATATTTTATTATTTTTATTTTATGTGTATGGGTGTATTGCCTACATGTAGGTAAGTGCACCTGTGTCATGCAATGCCCAGGGAGGACAGAAGAGGCTGTCGGATTTCCTAGAACTGGAGTTATGGAGTTGTTAGCTCCCATATGTGTGCTGGGATTCAAACCCGGGACTTCTGCAAGAACAAACAGTGTTCTTTACTGCGGAGCCATCTCTCCAGCCCCCTTATAAATATTTTATTATTTTCATTTTATGTGTATGAGTGTATTACCTGCATGTATGTAAGTGCACCCATGTCATGCAGAGCCCACAGAGGTCAAAAGAGGGTGTTGGATCCCCTGGAAGTGGAGTTATAGATGCTTGTTAGCTGCCATGTGGGTGCTGGGAATTGAACCCAGGTCCTCTGCAAGAACAGCCATTGTTCCTAACCACTGAGCCATCTCCCCAGCCCCTCTGTTTTCTTCAATGGCATATAAGAATCAGATTCTCTAGGACCTGATAGCAGGTCCTAAACATAACATCATTGCTCTTCTCAGAAATGGCAGCACTGATGTTCACTTCTGTGGTCTGGGCATTTTAGCATGAAAAAAGAGGCAGACTCTGGCTATGTATCATCCAACTGTTTGAATTTATTGATGTTGCTTCAATACGCTGACAAATCACACTGTATTTTTTCTAATGTTTTCTCCCTCAAGAGTCACTTTAAACCAGAGGGTTTTCTTAAAGAACACAAGTCTATTTGTACAGACACAGACACAGACATACAGACACAGACACACAAACACACACACATACACACACACACAATATAAAAATGGATCTCCATCACAGTGCATGTGAATGAAAATGCAAACAGGCTTCATTTTCAAAATCTGGGAACATTCTCTCTACCCCAGAAATTATATAGAAAGATCACCCATGTCCTAGGCCATGGCTGGGCAGAGGCTGGGCAAGTCTGTCAAGGACAAAGTATAAGTGGTGCCTGTTGCTAGAGAACAGGGCACAGGGTGCCAGGAACAAACACCCACACCCTCTGGTCCTGTGCTCCCAAGTCAAGGTGCAGTGATGTCATCTGGGGACACAACCTGGTGAGAGGGTGGTGGCATGGTCAGAAGAGGTTTCTTCACTTCTTAAATGATTTGGTTTGTTTCTAAAGAGTCTGACATGAATGCAAAAAGTGCTCAGGCCTCCACATTCTCCAATGCCTTTGGTCCATCTGGCCTTTCCTACAGGCTAGAATCATTAGCAGAGCTCCATGAAGGTCCTCGTCCTTGGGAGCTGTGTGGTCCTCACAGAACCCGCTGCCAGCATTTGCTGCCTTCTCAGACCCATCAGTGAGCATCAGGGACAGACTAAGGACAAGGAGCTGGTGGGTCCCATTGCCACCCATACAGCTAAGATGGCAGAGCAGAGACTGGCTCCTCTTTACTCCCAGCCAAGGGGCAGTGCTATCACATCTGTCAACCCAACCCTTCCCTGTGGCCAGCCTTCCCTAGTGTTCTTCCTGGCCTGATGCCCTCCTGGAAGGCTGTGCTCAATACTCTACCCCTGAGGGAGAAAGGGAAAGAGAGTCCTGGGCTTGGCAGAGGCTGGGGTATGTGTGGTTGAATGGCTGTCCCCCAGAAGCTGTCTGGCCTAGGGAAGAGATGTCCCTACAGGACAGTGGCAAAAAAATCAGCAGAGCTTTGGGTATCCCACTTCTGAGGAAACAAAGCTTTATATTTTAACAATAGCCCTTAACACATTCACCACACTGCACCTCACATCTATATCCTGACAGACACCTCTGCTGACTTCCACTACACCACACACACACACACACACACACACACACACACACACACACACACACACATACATACATACACACTACATGACTGACAAGCCAGGGGAGGACTCTGGTCCCACAGCCTACAGGGGTCACTTTAGCACCGGCAGTATGGGAGCTTGGCACTGGCTCCCACCTCTGTGTTGGGTGGTTCCTGATGGGCTCTCGTGCTCCTCAAACAGGTTGGGAGGCAGGCTTGGCAGTGGCTGAGGGGAGGTTGAGCCCCACAGAGCCCCAGCAGGGACTACTAGACAGATGGAAGGTGGCAAGAAGGTAAAAGAGACTGGAAAGTTCAGAGACAGGGGAGCACCTGCCTTCCCAACCCCTTACTGTTAAGTGGTCCTTCATGAGACTTGAGCAGATGAAAAACGTTTAAGGAACAGAGTGAATATGATGTCATGAGGGCTGCATGCGAGACAGTGCCACACTTCCCTGGCAGGAGGCCAGGCTGGCAGGCTCGTCATTCAGGGGCAGTAATTTGGCTGACATCCACAGCTACAGAGAGGACACTCTCATCATGCCTGCTGGAGCTGCCCCTCTGGTCAAAGACCCCAGAGTGTCTATCATCCTAGCCTGTGCTACCTATCAGGCCAGACTTCCTCTACCCTAGACCCAACAAAGAAAGGATGTGTGGGAGCCTTCGCCTCTGACAGCTGTAAAATGGACTCTAATGACCTGCTTATTCTGCTGGAACTAGGCACCAGTGTGAGACACTTCAAAGCTGAGGGGCTCTGAACTGAGCTTGTTCAGGAAGGCACCTTGGCTCTGAATCTCCACCCTTCAGCACAAGAGGGAAAGGCGGCCGTAGGCTACAATGGGAAATTCTCATGTTTCTGAGACTCACACAAGCACTAAGGGAGAAGAACCATGGGGTCTGGCTGGACCACAGCTGGGGCTGCCCAGGAGCAAAGCGGCAGAACAAGGGTGCACAGCCAGCAATGGAAATGGAGGAGGTGCCTTTATGCTTAATATGTATGGCAGGGTCATGGTCACTTCTTAACACGAAGAGAGGGGCCAAGGAGAGGGAAAGCATATAGAGATACCAAAGACTCAAGTCTCAGAGTAGAGGGGGCCTACTCTACCCAGCTCCTCCTCACTGCTAAGACAAAGACCCTTTGCTGAAGAATCTGCTCTATCATTCAGACCCCAGTCCAGTCACACCCTCATTGGGATACCTAGAGGCAAATGAACTCCAGGACTGGAGGCCAAGACCCCCGTTTCCCAGGCTCTTCGGCTCCCATACACTTTCTGGGAAGGAAGGACCAGCTCTGGTCAGATGATGGGGGGTGGGGGCTACAGGTTAGGATGTAAGGAACTGGAGTCAGGAAGGGAGCATCATCCAAAGAGGGAGGCCCAAGAAGGACAGGAGGAGGTCCCACCCTGGGCCAGTCACTTCAAGGTGTCATCAGAATTTTTGAACATGAGAATAGCATTATAGATCTTCAAGGCTGGGCCCAGCTTGACGCTCATGATCTTCACAATATCCGCCTGTGTCAGCAAAAGGAAGGCCTCGCCGTCAATCATCTGAGGGTTTGGAAGAGGGAGGTGGAAAGAGGGCCAGGGCAAAGAGGTAAAGGGAAGGCAGGGACAGATATGTTTGGAGAGTAGGGAGGGGAGAAATGATATGTGGTAGGTAGGGAAGGAAGGAGGAGGGAGGGTAAGAAGAAAAAGGAGAAAGGGAAGACAGCAATGGGGACGGAGAAGGAAAGAACCACAGCCACTGCCCCGTGCCACACATACACTTCCTCTTTCTGCTGACCAGTCTCAGTTTCAGTGTTTCTATCTGCAACATTTCTCTGCCATCCTCCTGGGCAGTAGCTTCCATGCTAGCTGTTGCTATACAGCCACGGGGATCAGTACACCATGAAAATGCAGAGCTCCTTGTTTGAAAATTGTTAAGAATTTCAAAATAGTGACCGCTGAGCATGAAGCCAAGTACTTAGGGCCCTGGGAGACTGTCTGGGTCACACGCCCAGAAACCAGCCTGCCTCCTGTTCTAAGGAGTTTCATTCATTAGTCATCCACTTCATAAACATTTCCAGAACTCATGTGTAACTACCTTCACATCAACAGGTGTGATTTAACATTTTTGAAAGGCTCAAAGTCAAAACAAAAGAAATAAAAGATAATGAAAACCCTGCTGTTGTCCCCACATGAGCCCACTGGTTAGTCTGAGTGCTGCTAATGGCAGGATAGGTAGACCATGAGGTACACTGTATGACCTCCAGCCTATTCCTATCAAAAAAGCCAGAGGGAACTGGGTGTGGTGTCGCAGGCCTTTAATCCCAGCATTTGGGAGGCAGAGGCAGGAGGATCTCTGTGAAATCGAGGCTGGCCTGGTCTACTTAGTGAGTTTCTGGCCAGCAGGGGCTACAGGGAGCCCCTGTCTCAAAAAAACAAGCAAAGAGAAAACAAAAACAACAATAACAAAAAGCCAGAGAGAGAGAGAGAGAGAGAGAGAGAGAGAGAGAGAGAGAGAGAGAGAGAGAGAGCGGGCGAGAGGGCACAGCCCCCGCGCATGC